AGAAAATTGCAGCGCTCGAAAATGAAAGCAGCAAAAAAAGAACAGAAAATAATAAAAAAAAAAGACCAAAATATAAATAAAATTCTTTTTGGAGTCAAAATGGGTCGGAAGATAGTGGAAATTGAGCGCGCGACAATTGAATTCAAAACTCACGTCGCAACCAAAAGCATATGAAAAACGAATAAATTTAACGCACTTTTTTGCCGAAAGCAACATTTTCAATGTCATTAAAATAAATTTGCTTTTAACCGACGTTGGCTCGATGAAATTGAGGTGGAACTAGGGGCAGACCGGGAGCTGAATCCAGCTCGTGCCCTGCGGAAATGCGAGCTAACAAATGGCCGTTAAAGAGAAATAAGAATTGAACTTGATAAATGGCGGCTGACGTTGCACCTTTAATTATATTGGGCAGGTAAATAATGAACAGATACGTAGGGCTGTCTACTGATTCATTGGTTGGTAATTAGGCGGCTGACGCGGCGTATACGTCATCGTAATTGAAATGAAAATGCGAGCAACAAGTTTCTCGCATTGAAATAACCTTAGAATAAATTGCCTCACGTTTCCGTCAAGCACACACACGCTATACTCTAGAGAGCCGGCCAAACTAGTTGGGGAGTGTAGCAGCAGCAGCTATATATATGTGTGTGTGTGTGTGTGAGTGGTGTGTTTACTCGTTGCCATAAACAAAAGACTGTTGCTCAAGTCGAACAAAAATTCAAATTCAAATATTTTTTTAGACTGCGTTTTCCCCATTTACGTAGCAACAAACAGCAACAACAACAGGCAACACAACAATGGCTCATTGTATAAAAAAAAGACGAAACTGGCTCGCTACAGACAACGCACGTGAGCATCACATGCTCAAACAACTAGCGAGGACAGCCTTTAGTTATATAGTTATATGTATATACATTTATATATATGCATCTGCATATTTGAGTTGCGATTATGAAACTGAGTTTCTAACCAATTACTGATTGACTTACAACGCAAAAGCAAAAAAAAAAAATTAGAGAAAAAAGGGCTGCCATTTGACTCGAGTTGATTTTGAATTTTTGGGTGTGTAATTTATTTACTAACTAGCTGACCAGCTGGCTGGCTGGCTGGCGAGCTGACTGACAACGTGGCTACCGATGAGATCATAAGCCACATACATAAGGGCTAAATGATACTGGTTGAAAGAGGCAGACAGAGCTTTAAGCTAGATAAATTGTAGTCGAGAAATATGCTCATTTTTCTTTACAGTTCTGTTGAAGTCGTTAGAGTTGATGCTAAGTTGAGGTTTTATTGCTTTGAAAGCAACACTTTATTTAAAGCTTTCCCAAAATATTAAAGCTCTTTTCATACATAGATATAAATATATACATAGATTGTTAACAGCACGCTGAAAGCTTGGAATAAGATATAGCGAACCCAAAGCTAAACATTCTTTTTTTTTAATCTCTAAAGTCAAAAGGATAGCTGAAAAAGTTAAAGCTTGTTCAAAATAAATTGTATATAGCTATATCAACATAAAGCTAGTTTAAAGACTATAAAATGTTAAAGCTCTTATAAATTCTAATTATACTATAAATCTAATCTAATTTGTATAAACAGTTCAGGTTGAGCTTTAAGCCAACGCGAAAGCTTTACATGCTCATTAAAAATACACATGAGACACAATATTTTCAATATGTATATAAATAAATATAAGTATTAATATAAGAAAGCAAAAACAATACGAATTCAGGCAATACTTGGTTACGTTCTATATAATTTACATACTAGATCAAATTCACGTAATATATATATACTTAAAAGTACGGAAAATACAGTGTATGTTGATAAAAACAAACAATGCTGTGCGTAAAGCTTATTTCATTGAAATTTTATTTTGTTTTGCTTTCAAATATCAACGTGAACTCAGGGTCAAACGCGTGAGAGCAATATTTTTAGAAGCAACATTAAGCATAACAGTGTGCCCACATTTTGTGAGATCGATAGAAAGATTGGAATGAGATGTCGGCGCTGCGTATCTGTTAGATACATTCAGCCGCGCGCTCGCTCGCGTCCGGATACAGCTACAGCTTGCTGACAAACATATTGACAAGCCACACGGAACAGATACGGGCAGCTGAGTTGGCATTGAGAGTGGCTATCTCGATGCGTATCTATGTATCTTTGTATCTGTAACTGTGTATCTCACAGCTAGCGCACGCCCCACTCACTGCAATGCAACAATTGCAAACGTACGAGTCTTTAGCGATTATTAGTTGAAAAGCTACAGCGGAGAACAGGCGGAAAACAAAAGCACAAACTAAAGCAATGAGCGAGTGTAGGAAGCAAATGCGATAAATGAGCGCAACTGCGAGAGAGAAAGAGAGAAAAAAGTGTAGATAAATAGAAAACGCAGTTCGAGGCTGATGCCGGTCTCAGTCGTCTCTGTGTGTGTTTGTTTGTATCTTTCAGATACATATGGTGGAGCAGGCCGCGACGCTTATTAAACAATCTATGACAACTATCAACAATATTTCCATGTATATCTGCCTGACTTATGACGCAATTGAGCAACAACACGAATAATCTATATAATTAGCTCTGAAGCGTAAGTCTTGTGAGAATTTTCAATTGAACGCCCCAGCCAAAGGCCTAGGCTGTGTGTTCGTATGTCCGTGTATCTGAATGTATTATAGATCGAAGCAGCATATAGTATGTTTATTTAACCCTGAACATGCATCACACATTGCTTTTATTTCTATTGCCTTTTCTTTCTTTTTCGGTCTATCGAATTCCTGCACGAATTTAATGCTAAACAAATTTTTTATTACGACATCGATGGCATCGTCATGGGCAGCGGAATCGAGCGATTCTATAAATGCCTCAAAGATGTTTCACTTCTTCTGTAATCGTGACGAGTGACGTAATTGCCATGGGGACTGTGGCCCAGTACAAGAACGATTGGAGCAGCACACTGCGAACTCAGATGAGCTTCGTTGAGGCAGTAACAAAAAATTAAATGACACAAAAGTTACCTCAAATAAATATAGTTTCTTATATAATTAATATTTCATATATGCTTTTATATAAAAAGTGATTTATGCTACAACAGAAAGCAGTAAGAAGAAGTGAATAGCTGATCAGCTTAAGACACAGGCTCCTATAGATCTAGATCTATATTTTATGCTGAATAGTTAAGAACTGAACTTCTTTTTCATACGGCTCTGCTTGACTGTCATTGCTAAAAAGTTTTAGTTACTTAAACATAAAATTCTCCTTCTATTGAGTGCACTTTGACTTATTAGAAATAAATAGTTCGCTTAGTTTCTGAGCTCAGAACTTTATGACTTGCTAAAGAAACAATTATAAATAAAACGCTGTAATGAACTCTGAACTCTGAGTCATCAAACAGGCCTCAATTAGTTATTTACAAAATAATATATCATCACATATATTAACTTTCATTCACGTTTAAATATAGCAAATAACATATATCCTCATCGAAAGATTTGTCGCTGAACAGATCCTGAAATCAAAGCCTTTTGCCACAGCATCAAGAACTCTGAAATCAAGTCACATGACATATATAGAGTAACGTATATAGCTTTTTAGAGTTTAGACTTTATTCTATTCAAATTAGACACGCTCTCAATGATGCTCTCTCTCCCTGCCTCTCTCTCTGTCTCGCATTATTTAAGATCTAGCCTCAATCTAAGTGCTCATGCAGACAACTTTGGCTTGAATATAGAAATTTGTTTGATGCGGCTTTTTGGATTTAGGCCATTCCGGGGCAACTGTGGCAGAAGGCCACACTCATTCAGTTAGCCGCGTTAACCCAGTTACGTGACTCTGAAACGCGAAATGCGACCCCCAAAACCAATTTGCCGTACCACATAGAAATGCATTGAATGCACATAAGTGCACAACAAGCACACACACATAGATACACACACCCAGATACAAACACACACACAGATATACATAATGTGTGCAGCTATGCTGCCCCCTGGCATTGTTCAGCTACATAGATACATATATTTATATATGTGTGTATGTGTGGGTGTGTGTGTGTGTGTGTGTGTGGAATCACCCCCAACATGCTGGCTGGGGCTGAGGCTGACCTTGACACAGTTTTTAATGCCGCCAGCTGCACAGTTGTCGTTTTTTCTTGTTCTTTTTTGTGGGCGGACGCAACGTGCAACCTAGCTGTGGAAACCCAATCATATATAACTAAAGCTTCATTTATATACCATATATATATATATATATATATATATATATATATATATATACATATATATATATATATATATTGAGTTAATTGGCCAAGAAAACAGTTGAAAAGCACAAAGTGTAATTGGCTTTCATATTATGTTAATTGTCCTGTGGCAACTCGACAAGATAAATTAATTAACCGTTATAAATATAAGCTAAAAATAGATTGAACTCATTTTAATTTGATTTAATTTAAGCTTCTTGAAGTCGTTTTCTAAATATTTTCAGTAAATTAAAATGAAGCAATTCATAAATAATTTCTCTATACCAAGAAAATCCTGAATATCCGATTGTAATTTCAGATACATTTAATCGACAAAGTGCCCATATAAATTCCAAGTTATCAAATATTTATATGTTGTTCGTATCTTCTAGATCGCATATTACTTTCATTTGATCTATAAACTTAGCAAAACATTGCGAATCTTATAGTTTTTTTAAGAAAAATATTTTAAAAGCTGAAATTGAAAAAGATTTTGAATGATCGCAGCGAAAGTATTGCTTCTATATATGCATATGGTATAGAGTTATTTATATAGATTTGCTAACGTCCAAGAGATTTCCGAAATATGCACTCTAGACTCAATTCCATATTCTGACCGATTCAGCCTTATGACTTGGGTTTTCGACTTGAGTTGAAAGTTCTTCCAAGTAGAAATTGTAGATTCAAAAAGATCTCATCTTAGGAGTGAGCAAGCTTATATGTCTATATATATGTCTTATGTTCACTTTGATGTGTGACTCACCTCATTTCCAACTGTGGTTATCTTGACCAACACCTCGTCTTTGGCGACATCATGGTAGACCACATCGCCGCTCTGCTCGCGTCCATTGTAGGTGAGAAAGATGCGCTGGCCGGGCTTTAAGCGAATGCTCATGATGGATCGAAAGCCGGGTCCGATGAGATCCGATTCGCGAAACTCCTTGATCATGGCATTGCGGCGCAATGCCTGAGCCGGACTGATGTGCACGTTAGCGGCGGCAGCAGCAGCGGCAGCGGCGCGACGCGTCTCCACAATAACCGATTCCGGGGACGTGGACGACGACGAGGACGAGGACGAGGACACGGACGCGTTAGCAGACGCGGCTGATAGCGATTGGGTCTTAAAATCAAAGCGCACTATATAGCGAGTATCGGCATTTAGCTGGGCATCGCCTGGCGCCAGAAAGGTGGGCGGCGGCATCGGCTCGGGCGTGGCGGACATAGACGTGGGCGTCTTAACATCCTGTATGACGCCCGAGTACCAGAGGCCGTCGTGGCCAGGTGCGCACACCTTGGTGCCAATGATTGAGCGTTTGGCCAAGCGGCGGCTGGTGGACATTTTGCTAAGCTTTTCTGATGGGGCTTACTTTCTGGAAACTTGGGGGATGACTGGAGGCTAAAAAGGTTTAGCCGCTTTTTCTTTCTAACTTTGCAGTTTTTTCACACTTCTACGATTTTTTGCCTTTCTTTGCTCTGTTTTTTTTTTCGCTTTGAGTTTTTACTATGAATTTAGGAGTTGAACTTGGCTCGTTTGGCTGGCAGCAGCATTTTTAACACTTGACATTTTCTGCTTCTTATTCTGCTTCCTTTTGTTTTTTTTTTCTTATTTGTTTTGCACACACTTTCTTATTGCACTTTCGTTTTGGGAAACTCTAACAACTTGTTGCACAGTGTTCTCGCCTTGTGGCTTGGTTTGGTTTTTTTTTTGCGGAAAGTATCTTAAGTCTGGGACACGTTTTTGGTTAATTTGTAGACATTGATTTTGTTCAGCTCGATTAGTTTTTTGATAATGTTCTTGTGGTAGAGCTCGAGGGAGAGGGTGACGCGCTGATTGAGATGCTGATTGAACTGTTGTCGCTGGATGGGCGAATTCCTATTTAGATTTGGATGCAGAGCATCTGCTGTGCCGGGCCGTCTCACATGCTCGCTGTGCGTTGTCTTGGTGACGTTGTCGTTGCTGTTGTTGCGTTTGTGCCGAAGCATAATCCAATCTTAAGCGTTTTTAACCTCAGCTTGATAGCGGCTGGAAAATTCAAGGGACAACAGAAAATTTGACAAAGCGAAATATTTTTGGAATCACTCTAGCGCGGATGTCACATAAATTCTGTTTGTTTACACTTTTTCTAATCTTTTCACTTATCGATATGTTGTTCTTTGCACTTGCTGTTGTTGTTGTTGCTGCTGTTAATTTGCACTGATTGGCGTTTTATTTATATATAAATATATACATATACATATATATAAGTATATATTTATTGCTCACTTTGCTTTCGCTGCCGGTCGTTTCACTTTTTCTTTTCTTTCTTCCAAGTTTTTTTCTTTCTTCTCACACACACGGGCACATACTGTGACACTAGCACAAAACACGCACACAGAATACCACTAACAAAGCGCAAGAGAGCAAAATGGATGCAATCCGCTGTCGCCGCTTCTGATGCTGCACTGTTTACTGTTGTTGTTGTTGTTGTTGTTGTTGTTGTTGTTGTTGTTGTTGTTGTTGTTGTTGTTGTTGTTGTAGTTGTTGTTGTTGTTGGGCATTACCCAATATGTTTTGCTGCATTCAATTAAGAAGCATATACACTGTTTATCATTAGTTGGTTTACTTCGAATTTATTTGTATTGTTTTGATTTGTTCAAGTTTTTTTGTTATTTTCTATTTTTTTTTTGGCGTCTACGTTGACGACGAGGGCGACTCGCAATAAGCGCTTATCGGTCTGTACACGAGAGTTGGCTATCAAAGACTGAGCGAGCGAACAACGAGTTACAGTTACGCGCAGCGAGCAGCGGTCACATACACACACATACAGCGCGCTCTCTCTCTCCCTCTCTGTCTGGCTCTCTGTTGCTGGTGCCGTTGCCGTTTGGTTTGTTTCATATTATGCTTTCGTTCGTACCTGCTTGGAAAACTACATAAATGCAACTGTGTGCGTGCGGGCGCTTATGTTTGTGTGTGTGTGTGATTTTGTGTGAGCATAGACTGTTTGAGTGTGTGCAAGTTTTTCCCCTGCTGCTAGCATAATACGTAAAACACTTGAGGAACATGCTCTTGAAAGCGTCGAAAATGCATTCGACACATACACACACAGGCATACATAGGCCTCAATTGAGTTAACAGTCGCGGCTATCGAAAAATGTTAACGTCTAGACTAGCTGTTAATTTGTTATGTCGATGTGTCAAGCTTCTTGCAATAAGTCCTCTCAGATATACATACATACATGTACTCATATAGTTAATTATTAATAGTAATAATACTTAAACAATTTCAAATTGGCATTTGCTCTGTTATTGACGCCAATTGGTATCAGTTCGCAGCAGCGATGTCTGCTTATCAATATGGCCAACCAGCCAGCTAGCTAGCCAGCTAGCGTGCCAATGTTTGCATCTGTATGTGTGTGTATCTGTGTATCTATGACGCCATCGTCGGCCAGCATAACAGCAAATGTCGACGTCGTCGTTTGTAGCTGCTGCCAACCCCAACCCAAAAAAAACTACGCAGTTAACAAAAAGTTAACACTTGTCAACATTTTTCACAACGTCAACAGAGCGCCGCATAACTCTGTATTTGTGTGCATAACTCTGTGTATGCATGTGAGCACGATATCAACAACAGAGCGAATACTGGCGGAGAGAGCGAGATAGGCGGTGAGAGCACGCGAGAAACATTGCCAACACGATAACAGCTGTTGTTGACAGAGCAGCAACAATGTTGCCAAAACAGCTGTTGAGCAGCCCAGCCATAACAGATGAGAGTACACTTCCATTAGTTGCTCGACTTACATATACTTTAATTATACAAAGAAATAAGATATTCATTCGTTTTGTCACATCAGAGACTCCGATTTTGATTTAAACATAATTGATGATCACAACTGTTATTATAACTGATTATAAACTATATACATATATATATATATATATATATATATAGTTAATTTAACTTTTGTATTTTGAGTTGGTTCCAATGGAACTGTAAGAAATCTTACATGAGTGAACTAAATTATTTTTCAATCGTGGTTACAATTTTACATTTCAAACAAATTTCTATGAAGCATTTATGTATATTTGTTTTTGTTGTCGAACCCAACTATCGTGTTAATGATTCTATTTTTGCAGAGAATTGCCATAAAATTGCCGGCCGGTTTTCTGTCAACGTCACAAGCTTAACAGTTAAAGAGAGTATTTAATTTCTGTGTATGCGTGTGTATGTGTGTGTTTAGGTATTCGAGAGTGTGATCTTGCTCTCTTTCCTTTTCAGCAACTCACAGCTGTTATTATGCTTTTGTTTACTTCGGCAACAGTTCGATGTTGCTGCTGTTGTTGATGTTGCTAATGTTGTTATTGTTGTTGTGTTTGTAGTTGCTGCCGTTGTGAATATTGAACGAACATAAATACAGACACATATTTATGTATGTATATATATATTTCGAATTTTTTGGGGGCCTCTCTTCCTACTGCCCCTGTTTTATGGTGGCTGTATGTTGTGACTGTGGCAGTAGCTGCTATATTGGCTATATTGTTGTTGCCTTTGGAATGACCTCTGTAGGCATACCACAGCGACGACGCTGCTCACAGCATAGGCTGCGCCGTGGCCGAGGGCTGGGGCTGTCGTTTTCTGGGCGTTCGCCGCCTCGATATCCATCAGCGCTACGGGGGCCAACATACATACTTATGTACATACATACCTACGCTAACACACACACTCACATAAGCATATGTACACACAAAAATGGATGTATGCGTTCATGTACAGACGCATAGATTTACGTTGTTGTTGTTGCGTTGATATTTTTGGGGTGGATTTGATAGCAGAGAAGCATTTGTAAAACGCCATTTGCGATAGATGCCCAAAAATGCGCTGCGTAGTTAGCTCAGTATGGGTCAAAGGGGGAGGCTGCAAAGTTGCTTAAAATCTTTACAAATTATGTTGTATTTTACGGTTATTAAATATATATTTTAAGGTTCAGCCAAATATATTCATATTGGACAACCTGTAGCCAGCAATGGCGCCCAACTGCAAAGATGCGCTATCTGACACATTCAATTAATCATTTCTTGAGTGAAAATTCCGCAGTAGCAGCAATAGCAACGGCAATAGCAACAACAAATGCTATTCAACGAAGCGTTGCCAGCGCTGTCGTTGAGCATTACAACAAATACGCAGTTACGAAAGGAAAAAGAAACAGCAACACTAATGACAACAACAACAACAGCAGCCGCAGCAGTAGCGGCAGCGCAGCGACTGCCGGTGCAATCTGTGTGTTACAAAACCAAACGAAACGAAAAGAAACGCAAAAAGCAAAACCAAAACAAAGCATTAGACCGAGCAAGACAACATCAGAAAGCGCGCACATACACACATACAGACTCGCGCACTGACACATTACAAAACTGGAAAATAGGTCAACCAGCTGAGAGGGCAAATCAACTGTTCGACTGCTCGCTCTAATGCTCTCATAGAGTCAAAGAGATTCATGTGTATGCTTGTGGGAGAGCAGCGTTTAACATTGTAAGAGCGCACAGTTGACAATTAGAACGGGAACCGCTGTTAGTTAACAGCGGCCTCAATTCCTCTGATTGGAATGAGCTGGCTGGTGTACACTCGGTGGGTGGCTAACAAAGTTTAGTTATGCGCACGTCATATATATTTACAGATATATGTATGGCTGCGTAAATATATTTGATATGCTAAGATTCTTAAGTAACTGTGATTATATTTTTATTTAGTATTAAACAAATTTCTTGATTGATTTCTTGATTTCTGTTCTAGAACTAGTTACTTTTATTTTTCTCATTTTGTTTGTGGTATGTTAACAAACACGACAGACATATTTCTTCTAACTTGATCTCTCATACAGTCACACCAGTCTGGTGACACATCTTATAAGAAAATCCATTCGTCGCAACTGCGCTCTCCTCCTCTCACAGCGCATGGGAGCTTGCAAGCAACATGTGTCCAGGAAGCCATCTTCACAAAGCAACACGATCATGTTGTCCTTGTCTTGCATGGCAGTGAATTGCTTGCATTCGCTTGCCTAATAAAGTTGCAATGGCGCCTCGATCGAGATAACTGTAATTTTCCATTAGGCCTTCAAATTACCGTTTCTTGAGCTGTTTGATAGTAGAAAGTACTGGTTTTAAGCTTAAGTTAGTTAACAATTGAATGATTTAAAGATACTTATTTCATAACTGAGCAATTTGATCTAGGTGTAATTATTGAAAGCACTTTTCCAATACCAAGCAGAGCTTTGTAGATAACCATATGTGGCTTTAGCTTTATAAAGTTAACATTGCTAACAATGTCGCCTCTATAAATCTTTCATTTTGCTAGCAATGAATGTAATTGAGCCTAATTGCTGAGCTGTCCAAGGCGCATGTCAAGTTCTTCATTGCTGCCAGTCTGTGTGTGTGTGCGTGTGTGTGTGACATGAAAGTGTGTTCAGATGTCCATCAAAGCTGTCAGTGGTCAAAGCAGGGCGCTGCCTCCAGTCGTCAGTTTGGTGGCATTGAATTTGGGATTAAAAACGGTTGCAAGTTGCGTGCTGGCTCATTAGAATGTTTACCTGAATATTGTTGCCATTGTTTGCAGTGTGCGGGGGGTGGCTTGGGCGATAATCAAGTTAGCAAATGTAGCTCCGACTTGCTGTGATTGATGTGCGCCTGTCAGCGCCAGGAAGCATAAATTCTAGACAAAGATGAGCGCTGATAGATGTACGTTTGGCATTCGTGTCGGGAAGCAGCCGCCCTGTTGCAAGTTGCCCAGTTGCCAGTTGCAGATACCAAATTGATGTCATGTGCAGCATTTTGACAACCGGTTGGCCGCGCAGCCAGGCACCTGTATGACACAGCGGGTAGAGACTTGACATGGCTAACAAACTAATTTCACCGATCATCAAATTGCCGCTCCCTGTGCCACACACACACACACACACACAAACACATGCACATGCGCATTACTGACATTTGCTCAAACAAATATTTTCATTGTTCCAAACAAGACACTTGTGTGTGCCTGTGTGTGTCCGTGTGTAAACAATGCAACAACAGTTTGGGGCACATTGGCCACAGCAACTGCTTCTGGTGCTCTCAAAAAGCAGAGCTATGAGCTCAACTCTGAGCTCCGATATGTTAAATATCTAATGCAACATTGCCACAGTATCAACAACAACAACGACGACGACTGCAACAACAAAAATAGGTCAATTTGCAGCACGAAATTTGTTGACCCACATTTCAGGCGCTCTGCACGAAATTATGTATCTGTACATATGTGTCTGTGTGTGTGTGTGTGTGCGTAGGCAGCATGCCCCTAACTCAACACAAACAAAAGTTCAATTAATACTAAGATTAATATAATTATTATTATTATTATTTTGAAATAATTATTATTAGCACTCGAGCTGACATTAATCCGATAATCATTTATTATTATTATTATTATTATTTTCAAATGTTTATCAGTAAGAGAGAGCGACCTGGAGGAGCACTCAACGAAGGTACCCCTAGGCGGACTCCACTATTTTGCTATTTTTCTTTTGGCCAATTGCAGCAGTTTGGTGCGAAAGGCTACAGACCGACTCTGATGACACCTCAATCGACGCCTATGAAAGCAAAGGGGGTGGGGGCTGGCAGCCTTCCTTTAGTTGGTAGACAACAGAGATTGATATTTATATACTGATATTCATAACACTAATGTCATCGTTGTGGCTAATGACATCATTGGTTAATGCTATATTATTATGAATCGTATTAGCCGTAACTACGTTTGTATTACTATTATCGTAGTCAGAACACATAATAATAATGAAAATATAATTCTATTGGCATTAGTATTAGTATTATTATTATTATTATTTGTGTAAATTATTTGCATCTCAATGGCTTGCCCCAGCATCAAGGACAAATTCGTTGTGCCAAGGGCATTAGAGCGTTACTTGACCCACTTTTCGAGCTCCTCGTACATGTCGGCGGTACATGTCAGGGCTGCTGGCCGTAACTGGGGCAGCAGTCTTCAGTGTTGCCTTCTAACCCTGGAAAGTGTGCTTCACAGTAAGCTCCGATAGCTTTACTGTGTGCCAGAGCTTTCGGCACTCTGGTGCTTTCAAAGCTCGCTTGAAAGCTTTGCATGCGGCATTAGGGGGTCTCAGTGCACCAGACATCATTTTCACCAAGCCCAAAAGTAGGCTACACTATCTATCGGAAATAAAATCATGGACTGTGTGACATTGGTTTGTGGCTTGGGTCACAAGCTTGTGAAGGAAATTAATATCAAGCTGAACAAGTAAGAAAGCTCTAGTGGGGGTGCCCGACTAGTAGATACCCTGATCCCAGTCCTCTGAGTTTATTAATATTTTCCGTAGTTTGTATCTAGTATTCACAAAAAAAAAAAAAAAAACAAATAAAAAACGACATTGCGAGACCAGGATTCGAACCCGGATTGTCTGCGCAACGTGCACCAACTCTACCAACACCGTCACTTCAGATTAAAAAAAAAAAAAACAATAAGATATATCTCATCTTCGTCGGTATCGAACCCTGGGCCCTGTTGCATACGAGCGACGCCTCTACCAAAACAGCCATTACACTCTTGCAGAAAGAGTTGCGAATTTGAAGTTGAGTAGCAACTGATAATTCAAGCAGAATTCAATAGCAATTTCAATTCTTGGAATAGAAAAGAATACACGCATTTGAATGTATGTGTGCACACGCATAGGAAAAATGCGTGCGCGTGGCGCTGCTGACATGTGCTTTTGCAAATTGGTCAAACGTTTTGTTTAATAACTTCTGTTTTACTTAATGGATTTTAATGAAATTTTCAGCATATGTCCTACATATCCTATTGGCTTGGTTGAGATGCAAACGTCTTCACATAATGGCCCTAGTTCCAACTAAACTTAAATTCTAAGAATTTGGGGGAATTTGGAGCCGGCATCCAAAATCCAACAAAAATCAAAATTGCATAAAATATACATAAAACTAAATACAAAATTTGGAGGCTCTAGCTCTTAAGACGTTCGAGATATAATTTATTTACTGCATTTCAATAATGTTTTTATTCGATATTAAAAGTCGATAGTTTACTGCATTGTGATTGTTTTGACATGACGTCATCTAGTCATCTAGTCGGGCATCCCGATTAGAGCTTTCTTACTTGTTATTTGATAACAATTATATCAGGGTATAATAAGTGTTATCTTAACAAGCGAGCAGATTATCAGAATCGGTTCTCATAAATTTATTGTGCACTATACAGGCACGTGAAAGAAAAAGACCTGTCCAAGAATCGAAATTGCTATTGAATTCTGGAATTTTCAGTTGCTATAGTTAGTCAATAATGTGGATTTGAAGTATACATAGTTGCACACAAAGTCAATCGACATTCAAATTTCCTTTTGGTTTTCTCGACTCTAGACTCTCCATGAAGTTGATCACGTATGTTGGTTTTATTATACCCTGATCCCATTAAAAATGGGAAATCAGGGTATAATGGTTTTTTGCAAATGTATGTAACAGGCAGAAGAAGGCGTGGCAGACCCCATAAGGTATATATATTCTCGATCAGGACGACAAGCCGAGTCGATTGAGCCCTGTCCGTCTGTCTGTCCGTCCGTCTGTCCGTCTGTCCGTATGTGTGAACGCGTGGATCTCAGCTTCTATAAGAGCTAGAGACTTGAAATTTTTTTTGTAGGTCCGTGTATAGCACGCACAGGTCAAGTTTGTTTCAAATATTCGATAACTATTCGCATTTAATTGTTATCGAATAAAAACATTATTGAAATGCAATAAATAAATTATATCTCGAACGTCTTAAGAGCTAGAGCCTCCAAATTTTGTATTTAGTCTTATGTATATTTTATGCAATTTTGATTTTTGTTGGATTTTGGATACCGGCTCCAAATTCCCCCAAATTCTTAGAATTTAAGTTAAGTTGGAACTATGGCCATTATGTGAAGGCGTTTGCATCTCAACCAAGCCAATAGGATATGTAGGGCATATGCTGAAAATTTCATTAAAATCCAATAAGTAAAACAGAAGTTATTAAACAAAACGTTTGACCAATTTGCAAAAGCACATGTCAGCAGCGCCACGCGCACGCATTTTTCCTATGCGTGTGCAAGTTAACACATCCGGTCAGACAAAGTCAACGACTGCAGTTCTGCACGATCAGCAAAGCTGCAACAATGTTTAATGCCAATTATGCCAAACTTCACAATACGTTGCCGTCAACATTCCATGCGCTGTCGCAACGTTGAAACATAATCCATTCAGCATAATCGCTGACACAGCGATGTTAAGAATATTTTGTCATTTATATTTCAGTACGGATTTGACCAATAAACGAACAAGTATAATTCTATCTCACTGACTTAACTTCGTGCAGAGATCACAAGTAAACAGTTTGAGTATATTAATTATTAACTTGCACACATACATTCAAATGCGTGTATTCTTTTCTATTCCAAGAATTGAAATTGCGATTGAATTGTGCTGAATTATTAGCTGCTACTTATGTTAAAATTTGCAACAGCTCACGTAAGAAGGGCAGTGGCTGCGTTGCTAGAGGCGCAGCTCGTATGCAGATTGGTCCCGGTTCGGGACCAGTGGGGATGAACAATTTTTTATTGTTTTATTTTTTTTTTTTAATTATGAAGTGGCGGTGTTGGTAGAGTTTGTGCACGTTGCGCAAATAATCCGGGTTCGAAACCTGGACTCACAATGTCGATTTTTATTTGTTTTCTTTTTTTTTTAATACTCGATACAAACTACGGAAAATATTAAAAAACTCAAAGGACTGGGATCAGGTCACCCCGACTAGAGCTTTCTTACTGGTTTTTATTTTATTTTTGTAATATAATAGAAACAATATAAACAACAATATATTATTCTGTTTGGTTGATCAGCAGTGTATAACTGAGAACACGATCCCTGATTATTATTATTAGTGATAATTATTAGTAGATTATAGCGGTAATTATTTCGTCTACCCTGGCTTTTTGTTTAGTAATCCAAAATAACACCATACCAATTAAAAATGCTAAAAGCCACCCATTGTGCTCTGTAACAAAATTCAATAGACTAAATTTGTTTTTTTTTTCATATTGGCCTTTCGAACAATATGTTTCTAGCGATTCTACGTTATTCATTCCATTGTTCGTGCACATCACTTTCGGTCCTCTTCGCTGTAAAAGGGTAAAGTGAGGTAAATCAAGGGAAAGTGAGAGTGAAAATTAATACTTACCTTTACGAGTTCCTGGATCTCTTTCTCAAATCCGCATTTGCATATTAATGGATTACTATCCATATTGACGGGGAGATTGGAATCAACGTGCCGTAGTTCATTGGGGTCAGTAAACTTGTTGTGGCTCAGTTGAAGCAAACTTAAATTGCTAAAATGCTTGTCATATTGTACAGGTATTTTTTTAATATTATTATATGACAGATCTAACATTTCCAAGCTTGTAAAATTGTACTGCAACAGTTCAGCTGGGAGGGTGGTATAGTTGAGTTTCTGCAGTATTAGCCCGGTAGGTTTCAAATCAGACAAGCATTCATAATTTATCCGACTCGAACAGTTTGCGGTTTTGTCCTCACTCAGAGAACAGCCACACTTCATATTCGTCCCAATTACACAAAGCGAACCAAATAGGATTAATAGTATTATCGAATTTGTCATGGTTTCAGCTAAGTAAAATATATAAAAGAAATGGAAATATAAATTAACACAATGCTTCAAAAATTCAGGAACAGCTCTTAAATATATCATAATATATGCATTTTGTAGAATTCGTTAACAGGATGACAAGCTGAGTCGATTAGGCTCATAAATAATTTTAAATTTCAAGCAGTGCTTAGTGGTTGTAGTCTCTGCTAGATGGAAAGCAGTGCAAAGGACATAGTCATTAAATCGAAGGTTTTAAAGTGCTTCAATATATCGCTAAATGCGCCTAAATAGTGAATGTGCTAAAGTGGACAAGACGAATATATGATAAAAATTGTAGAGAAATTATTTTTAAATTCTAAACATATGCTGCAAGCAGTGTTGCATGACAGCAACTGGCCGACCGCGAATCATTTTGCCAGCGAGTGTTTCTCAGATTCTGAATGGGCGCACGAAGTGCGCATATGCGAATCCTTTGAATGCTCGCAACGCGGCGAAGAGTCGTTATGGCGACGTTGGCGTCGACGTCTACGGCGCTGTTCAAATCGGCTGCGCGTAGCTGACGCCACCCACAAACACACACACACACGCACATACGACACCTACACATGTGTTGTGAGGCAGCGAGTCCTGTGGCAGAGTCGGGTCGTCGCCTCAGTTTTGGACAAACACTCCGAGAGGCACGTCAGGGCCCAGCGTTCGCGCTTCTCGTCTCGATTCAGTGTGCATTGTGTTGTGTGTTGTGTTTTGTGTGTGTGCGTGTGTGTGTTTGCCTTTGAAAAGCCAGAAAAGGCAAGCGATTCCCGTTCGCTGGCAAATGCTGTAATCGGCGGTATATTGTACACTACAAAAACCACAAGAGAGTCAAATAAAAAACAACAACAACAACAACAACAACAACAACAGCAGCAGCAGCAACAAAAGTTAGTTAGCTACTTGGCTGAGCGGCTACTTCTTGTTCCCTTGTCTTTCTTTTGTTCGCCTATATACTGAGGCTGTATTTACCCATTTAGAAATAAATAACAAATTCTACTCGGATTCAGGTGCAAACAGCGAACTGCGGTACAAATTTCGAACACATTGCAATTGTATGATATGCCATGATTATCTGCTGATTAGGTCTAGTTTGTTTTGGTGGGGCTTAATGATTAGCTAGCACTGGACTGGACTTTGTGACCATTTGAAGGCATGGTCTGTCACAATATTACTCATACGCGGTGTGTTCACTTTTAATTTTCACATTAAAGGAAAGCAACGCAAGATGTATATGCCGTGAATGAAATCATCCAAAATACATAGAGGCACACGCAAACACATACATAGATGGAAACACGTACATACAATATTAAAACTAGAGTCACGAAAAGTTACAATAATGCTCAAACAGAATATGTAGGTAAATAATGGGTGTCAAGCGAACAAATATCAGAGCTGAATACCTCAAAGGTGACAACTCTAATAAATAATGTTGTATTATTATAATACATGTATTATAATACAACTTGTATATATAGTCTGGTCTAGACAAATGCAAATAAATTTAAAAATAATAAATTGTCTTAGTTGAAGGCAACAACAACAAAAACAACAACAGCTATGGCAACAACACAGCTAGTGCCGCACAAAATGTGTAGCATAAATAATTCCACCCACTAAACAAAAAATATAGAAAAAGAAAAAGAAGATTACACAGTCACTAGGGCGACACACTAAAAGTAAAGTCATACAGTCTGTTCGCGACGTCGCTGTCGCTATCGCAAACGCAGTCGCAGTCGCAGTCGCAGTCGCAGTCCCTGTCTCAGTCGACGTTGGCATTGGCGTAGCGCTGCATTTGTCCTTTGCTTGGCATTCTGCGCTCTGGTGTTCTCAATTTTACTCGCTGCTCGCTGTTGGCGCTCTCACGCTCTCGCTCTCTTGCTCCTTGTCTCTCGTCAAACTAACCTACATCAACAGCTGTCAAGTGCGGCGGCCACGCAAGCCGCACTTTGTTAATTGCTGTCCTTCACATTGTTCTTTTACCATCAGTGTCAGAGCCAACAACATCAACAATAACAACAAGAGCTGCAATGAATTGACAACAAAAGCAATAATAATAATAATAACAACAACAACAACAACAAAACAACAACAGGAATAAGAAGAAGACGGAGACAAGTGTTAACACTATAATGCAAATATTAAAGTTGCCGGCGAGGTTAATAGGAAGTAAAGCAAAAATTAAATTCAACTCATTCAAGACAAATGAAGACGCGGGCGAGCGTCTTCCTTTCGCCGTCTGACAGACTGTGACTCTCTCGCTCTTTCGCCATCTCCCCGCTGTCTAGTTCGCGCTGTCTCTATTTGTCACTCGCCGCCTGCCTGCACTTCCGCCCGCCTCCCGTTCACTCGCTGACGCTCTCTTGGTCTCTCGGTCCCACTCTCACTCTAACGGCTTTCTGTGTGGTGCGAGTGTGAGCCTTGGTTGGTCAAACAGCTGTTTATCCGGTCTCCTTGTGCGGCGACGCGTGTGTACATAACCTCAATTGGCAAAAGCTCGTGTCGCGCCCGTTGCGTACTCGTGCCGCTCTTGAATGTTGCGGTAGGCAGCGACGCCTGCCGCTGCCAACGCAACGTCAGCGTCAACGTCAGCGTCAGCTTCGACATAGGCTGCAAGTGTCCAGCACTCTCTCGCTCTCCCTCTCTCTTTCTCTCTCTCTCTCTCTCTCTCTCTCTCTCTCTCTTACGCTCTATCTCTATATCCATCTCCATCTCACTCTCGCTCTCTGCCAAATTGACGAGTGCAACGCGAACGACAACGACAACGTCTAACCCTAGGAGCAGCTCTCAGGCCGTGCCGCAGGCTTTGGCTGGTGCGGGTGTGGACGTCGCTGCAGCTGCAGCTGCTGCTGCGACGCCGACGTCAACGGAAGCAACAACAAGAAGAGCAACGGCAAGAGCAATAGCAACAACGCCAACAGCAACAGCAATAGCAATAGCAGCAGCAGCAGCAGCAGCAACAATCAGCAGCAACATCAGCGCCCTGTGTGCACCGACAATAATATGAGGAGTGGCAGTTCGGAATTACTACTCGAGCAGCAACAACAAGAGCTACGGTTACGTAAAATCCGAGAACTGGCTCCAAAAAAGAAAAATGGCAATCGGCGCTTTCGTTCGTGGCGGGAACGTGCGCGTTTCTATGGCACCTCAACACTTGCCTTCTTCTCGGTGACGGCCGGCGCCTCGCTGCTGTTTCTGGTGCCACTCTACGTGGATCCAGCCATTTCGACGCTGAGCCACGACTTTATCGAACACCCAACGTTGTGCACAACCACACGTCGCGAGGATCTTGTTGGTATATTCAATTGCTCGTGGAGCTCCTGCCGCGAGGGCTGCACCTCCGATCTCTATCGCTGCGTGCACATCTATGTGACATTTATCGAACAGAATATAACGATACCAGAGAACATGACCGACTATAGCAACTACACCGCCGACTGGGAGCAGTCCAACGAGGCCACACTGCTCGTCAACATTAAGGGCTGCGGCTATCCGCCCACAGTGACGTGCAAGAACTTTAATATGTACTACGGCGTCGAGGGCGCCATCTATCCGTGTTTCTATTCGCGCAAAAACAAGACGGTCGTCCTAACATCCTACAATCATGACGACCAGGAGGCCGTGATCATACATTTTTTTGTGGTGCCCTTCGTGATAACGGTCATCTCATCTATCGCACTGTGCATCATGCACTGCGATTGCCGCTGTAAAAAGGATCGCAGCCATCGGCGCAATCGTCCCCAGTGCCGCAGGCCACGCATTGAAAATCTCAGGTGAGCTACGTTGACAACTTCAAGTTTACTTTCGTTGCTAGAAAAACCAGTTGAAAATTGTGATCAATTCTCATTTTGAAACGTTTATCAAGCTTTTTCTATGTGTTCAAGTTCCTGGCTCACAATCGTCCTTTAATGATACGAATACGATTTATTATTTAATTTATTATATATATAAAGAATATATATTATATATATTCTTTTATAAACTGAGCCGCTTTCGCCGGCCACTGAGCCTCAGGACTTATGCGAAGCCTTTTTTCAAAATATAATATAAAATATTCGGGTTTTCACTGTCCACTCTCCTTTCTACAATTGAGTAGAGTATTTTGGTTTCTTCAGGCTTTAAATTTGGCCGAGTCTCGGCCCGTCTATAAGCCCTTCGTGGTTGCAAACATAGAAAAGTAGCTAAATATTTATCACAATCTGAGTGAACCTAGAATCCTTCTTCTTCTCGGCTTCCATCTATTCCCCAACTATGCATTGAGATTCGTTTGTGCTGAGCTGCTTAAATGTTCCACTCTGCAGGCATGTTGCGATAGATCCTCTAATTAACTGAGCTCCTGCATAATTATGCAGCCTACCTACTGGCTGATTAGCAGCTACTCTCAACTCTCAGCTCTCAGATTATGCGCCCTTCAGCGCAAGATGCTGCAGCTTTGTCGAGCTTCAGTTCATTTGCATGCATCGTTGAGTTGTGTTACAGTTGACTTCAAGTTTCGAGTTCATTTAAATTAATAAAGTTTATAAAAGTTTGGCAAACTTTTTGGCAGCTGAACTTAAGACGCACGCCAGTCACCTGTCCAATTCAATCCAATTCAATCTAGTCGGAGTAAGTCTGTTGTCCATTATTTGTTTGGGCCGAGATTTAAATAATACAATAATGAGTTATACGACGAATGAGTGGACTGTATTATTTACAAGCCACAGTGTCATATGTGTTTGTGTGTGATTGTACGCCCGCAAGGCACGCATTAGCTGGCAGCACACGCACACGCACCACGCACCACGCTGCGTATGATTGATTTGTTGAGCTGTTGACAAGTCGATTTTTTTTAGCTTCTGATTACTCACATGTGGATAAGTGCGACAATAACAATTACATTTATCACATAGAGAAATATAAATAAAATAGCAGCCAGAGAACCATATTCACTGATTCGTAATTATAGTCCTTATTTCGTGTCCATTCGGAAGAGTTGCGTCTGAATTCCAGTCGATTCATTGTCATTGCGAGCTGTGTGGCCCATGTGAAATTTGCATATCCAAGTCGGAGTTCACATTGAGTCAATCGATAATGAATTGGTCGAGCCCATGCACACACACACACACACACACACACACACACACACACACACACACACACACACACACACACACACACACACACACACTCGCACACACTTGCACACATATAGGCATTTGCATTATTCAATTGCCTCGTGTCAGTTTCACATGCTCAGGCACGGAGTGCCTGCTTCTATTGTCCTTCCTTTTGGACTGTTTACCTCATTGTCTATGGCATACGTGCCCAATCAATTAGTGGCTCAATGAGCATTATACCCAGGTAGATTTCAGATTTCGGCCAATGGACTTCAGCTGCAATAATGGCTGGCTTAGTTAGTCAGCCCTTGTTCTAGTCTCAGTCGCATTTCTCGTTTGCTTAATGCAACTGAAAAAGCTTCAGTTCTTATCTCTCTCTCTCTCTCTCTCTTCCTCCATTCTCTCTCCTTTTAAATTCCAGTATAATTTACACGTATACGCATATGCGAGTTGGGGTAATATATTTCCATTAAAAAATAACAAAGTTTATGCCAGGTGTCGCCACGCCCTCAAGCAAACGAAACAACAACAACAACAACAAAAAAGGCTAAAAAGGGAAGACGCATAATTTAGCTTGTTTTCAACGGAAATCACTAATAAAAACAGTTGGAAAAGAGCTGTTGAAAAGTTGCAAAACAAACTGGCGTCAGCATGTGCCGTTGTTAATGCTATATCTGACTGACAGACACACATATATGTTACATGATCTGCTTACCTTACGCAGTCGCTCGCTGTTTGAAAATGAAAATAATTTCAGTTACTTTTGTTAAGGGATTTGTTGTACAGTAAAAACTGTGAAATATTATTATGATTAGCGCTGAGCCAATATAAGCTAATGATCGCTTTGACTCGCACAACTGGCCAACCAAATTGCTGCCAATGAGGCGTATACTCAACGCTTCAAACACTTAACAAAGCAGCGTTGCGAGTGCAGCTTTGGGCGAAAATGGTTGAAGGAGCTGCGGCTGCTGTGGCAGCTGCTGTTGCAGGCTCGTGGCTGCACCTAAAGTGGCCTACTTAGCCGGGCCAACCGCTGCTCCAGCGTCGCTTGCTGCGTGTGTGCCACTTTTCCTGCCAAAGAGTGTTTCTTTTTCTTAAAAGAAAAAAGCCACAGAAAAAGAAGACACAAAAAAAAAAACAAAAAAATCAATTTCTTATGCCTTGCAACGGCAACGGCTGCAGCGCATGCATTAAAGTCACGTCTTCCACATATTCAAATTTGCCGCTAAGCTCTGTGCCTTTCATGTCTGCAGATGAGATGCAACTTGAATTTTTTTGTTTTTTTTTACTGATTTGCAATTACCATGCCTTGCTTAATCAGGCAAAAGCAATTTATTTGCCATAAACTCAAGCATCATTAATGCATTGAAGTGCCGCTTAGTTATTTGCGGGCTGCATCTCTGGCGTTTCGGCACGTATTTTGCCATTTCCGTTTTGCTTTCTGTTTTACTCAAGCTTCTACAAACAATGCGATGCGGCTCGCTTTTATCTTTCGGGTTCGAAATGGGAGCAAGGGAATAAAAATAAAGAAAGGTTCGCTTTTGTTATTTTTATCAGACACATTTCGAACTACTTCTAACATATGATGAAGGCTGAGAGTTCGTGTGGGTGAGTGGGTGTGTGTGTGTGTGTGTGTGCCATCTCACATCATATGTGTGAAGGACAGCGCCGCCTACTTCTCATCCCGCCCACTCTGAAAATCAATATTAATAATGCGCAGCATATGAATGCTGTTCAATAAATTCTCCTTTTCCTAGCGCCATTCAAAATGCAATCCGCGTTGAAATACAAAGCCGTTTTGTAACTAACGTCTTCTGTCAGTAAATTCACACTGAAAGCACAAGTCGAAAAACAACAAAATTAAGTGAAATAGTTGCCTGCTCGCAGGCGGGTAAATATTTTCGTTGACGCCATTCCATTTTAAGTAAATCCCCAACCAAATCCTGCCAGTTGGCAAGCAAAGTCCGCTAAGTCAGTCAGAAGTCGCAGTCAGCTAGACGTTTCATTAATAACACACACACGCACACACCCACACACATACAGGACGCAAAGTAATGTACATTTAAGCCCTGTAGCTGGGCATCTTAATTGCTGTCAATGACAGTGGCACATGTGCAGCAGAAACACAATTGCTCCAAGCTCTAGTTTCTTTTATTCGAACTAAACTTGCTTACTTTATGAAGCATTATTACACAATCAAGTTGGATGCTGCTCAGCTAGGCAAATGCCCGGCGACTCCTATAGGCATGCAATGCAAACACTTCACATGTTCACATATTATCATTTAAAGGAAAAGCCAGATGATGTCATCTGGTCTCATCAGCAGAAACTTGATCTGGTAATCATGGCTGGCAGGCGGCCTGATAGCGACCTCAATCGATTCATCATTAGGTGCTAAAGCAGTTGATCCTCTTTCATGCAGCTGCCACAGAGCGAAGGAAAAGTAACAAAAGCTATTTTTTTCTGTTAAAATCGAAAGCAAATTGTACAGAGACGACAGAGATCTCTAAGTAGCTCAGCAATGGCTTGGCTTTAACGAGTATGGCTCACGCAAAATGGAATTAATTTAGTGCAAAATATATGCTAATAAATTTCGTTGTTTAATATTTGAGCAAGGAATAATAATAATAGCTCAGTAGACATAAACGAATCAAGACAACATTCAACGAACCTTCCTCACACATAGGAAACGATCAAGACCATGCCAATGGGGATAAATAAATGTTTTTTTATTTTTTAAACCATATTTAGAGTAATAGAAGCGTCTGCCCAGCGATGGTTAGTGCAACATAATTCGTTGCAGCTCTAACATAGTAAAATGAATTTATTTATTTTAATTGTCAGCATGTGAAAAGAGTAAATATATAGCCAACGAAAGCTATGTTTCTCCTCACATTTCTTTCAACAATTTCAAAGATACCCAAATACAATGCTAAAGTCTAAGCTCAAGCTTTTGGCTTTTCATTTAAATTATAAAATTTTCAAGTAGTTTTTTTTTATTTATGGCTTGATATTTTCATGCTTAAATAAATTTACTATAAAGAAAAAACTGCATTGACTTGGCCTTGCATTTATTTTCTGCAGTTTACAAATTTATATGCAGCAAAACTTTAATTAAGATAAATACTTTTTTAATTGAGTGCAATACCCGTAACTTTAGCTGCAAAACTAAACTAAACAATATTCAGAATCAATTCCCATAGGAAACTAGGTAAATTCTGGAGCCAGACATGTACGAAAATACTTAAGGAGCTTAAAAAATATAAAACACTTGAATAAAGCGATTTGAAAACGGTTCGCCCCAGACAATTTAGGAGAAGCCCATAGCTCAGCAGCAGAGATAGCGATTCCATCGAGAATTGAGATTGAGACTGTGCCTGTCTCAGCATGAAGTGTAGCAGGCAAAAGTAAGCGAATATTCCTATGCACATTGCACACACAGATAATATCTGAATTTGAGTATGTTATTAAAGTGAATTTATGGCCAGACGGTAATACGTACGTTAAGCGCCTCCGCCACAATATATACAAATATGCAGACCCATAATAAATTCATGTCCTATAAGGCAGTGACAGACGATACCTAAGGCAAAGCAGCATATTTTTAATGGTCATACAGATCTGTTATATTATCACATATTATGCATGCTGTGCGCAAAGAAAAAGTTTCGTCTAACTAAAACGCTTCAGCTCACACTTAATGAGAATTTCAAATCACATTTGTGAGCTGAGAGAGCTCGCTCGCCATAAATAGTGAATGGGCGAAAATGCTATGAGAAATCTGAGTCGTAGCTGCAAATTAACAGCATCATATTTGGGTGAAAAGCACGTTTTGCGCACCTATTTGTATTTGGCTTAATTCAAACAACAATTAAGCTTAAATGTGCACGTGAATTTGCTTAAATGAAGCGCAACAGAGAGGCGCGTGCGGCAGCGTGCGTGGGGGCGTATGAGTAATGTGGGCATGCTAGCAAATGCCATCTCGCATAATTTGAGAATGCCAAAGAGAAGCAGCAGCAGCGTGGGAGTGCGGGCACTTTGTGTTTGTATGTTCCACTGTTTGCGCCTCTCATTCTCACTGTGTATGCATATAAAGCAGGCAAACAGAGCTTTTATTCAACACAATTCACGTACATAAAACATTTATCTTTATGGTCGTCTTCAAGTGTTTTCTCGTGTATAAATGTGAGTGTGTGCGTGTGTGAGCTAACAATGTGACATTGCTCGAGTCTAATTTAAAAAAAAAAACGAAAAAACAGAAATGAAATTGAATTTTTAGTTACTTTGCAGAGGACCTTGTGCAACTTTAAGAGCTCGATTCATACTGCATGCACAAATTTAATTACTGCCGCATGTCCTTTTACCTGCCAGCTGTGCGGCAGTTGCACTCACTTCAAAATGAAGTGCCGCAAGCCAACAACAACAGCAACAAGCAAAAGTAAAAAATGAAAAAGAAAGCAAATTTACAAGCGAGAAACAAACCAACTAACAACAACAAGAAACTGCAGGCTTTACTGCAAAACAATTTTGTTGACAATCAAGTGCAGTGAGCGTCGCACAAGGACATATTCAAGCATCCTGCACTGCGCGCCCAGCCCACAGCATAATGCAACGAATTTCAATAAGAGACCCAAGCATCATCCATCAGCCATCAGCCATCAGCCACCAACCACCAGCCACCTGCTGGCCGGACTTGGATGCTGCTGCTGCTTCTGCTAGGCTGCCGCTTGATGCTCGGCCTCGACCAGAACACATTCGTGGTGTTGGCAGTGCTAGCATCGGCATCCGTATCCGTCAGTGCCACACTTTGGCTGCCAGCCGGCAAAAGCCGAGCAGCAGCAGCAGCTCAAGTACAATGCGGCTGCATACTCGTATAGCTGAGCCGCGCCCCATGTCCCAAGGTTGAGGCTGATCTGCCCCAGCCTCTGCCTCAGCTGCCGCACGCCTGTCAATTCGTCTATGCCACATCCATTCATTTATTTCAGGCAAGTCCATCATGCAGCTGTCACAGTTTTAATTTCCTAATTACAATCCTTTTTTGCAGTTGCCTTTTGTGGTCGTCTCTTGCTCTTCGCTTTTTTTTTTCGTTTTGCTGCTTTTGGCCATTTGCCAAGTGCATTCGACTTTTTATTTCAATATTTTGCAATGATTTCAGACAGCAATTGCGGCTGCCCCTTGGTAATTGCCAGTCCGGCAAATAATAAAATTAAATTACCGACTTTGCAAGCTGTTTGCGATTCTTGAAAATGATCTATCATCTAGTTAACTGCCTCTGCCATCGCAGAAGAATTCGATAGCATTTTTTCCATTGGCCATTGACAGCAAACTAAACCAATGTGATCAATATATCAACATGGTATTGATGTCCATCGCCGGACGCCTTCAAGTGAACTGCGGAAGAGCATTGGAATTTGCGACCATTCCCAACGTCAAAACGATCGTTTAAACTCCAATCACTCGACGTGGTTAACTATGGCAACAGACATATAAAAGGACATATAAAAGCCGACGATCAGTTCAGCACTCACTCACCTAAGTGCAGCACAGGTCAGAGATAGTTGAATATGAAGTTTTCTACCTCTTTCATAATGATCTCTTCTTTTATCAGATACGCTTAAGCTCGATCGATGATATATTTCAATGAAATAAGCAAAGTGAACGTGAATTTGCTGCAGAAGCATCTAATTAGAAAAATGTCAACTGTGGCTTTGATCAATTCTAACATCGATTAATTTATGCAGATGCACAGACAAACGGAAAGTCAATTGGCCCGACGGACGGGCAGAGGGTTGGCCACACTGACAGAAGTATGGAACTAGATAGACTCGGCTGTTGATCTAGATCACAAATATATTGTATAAACCTTGCGGAAACTGTCTGCTACGTCTACTTCTGCCACATTCAAATTTCCAATTTCAACAAATAATTATTGAGATACAATGGGGCTCGGGCAAAGATGCAACTTCTCCCACAGATTGACCCTAAAAAACGACACTTTGAATTGAATTTCGGGCAACTTTTGTTCGTCCCCTGACACAGGCCTCGGCTAAAATAAAATGCTTTACTTTTAAGCAGCCTGTTAGATAAATGTTACGGTTTTCTCGAATATTTTGTTTTGCTGCGCCTTTTACTTCTATTCCAATGTGGCATGTAGCATTTGTCCAGACCGTGGCAGCTCCACATATAGATGGCAGCTCTACATATAGATGCATTTTTATTAAAACTTGACAATTATATAAGCTGCTTTTGTTGTACGTGTTCCATTGTCTTTTGCCTTGTCTTGTTTTGTGTGAAGTGGAGTTTTTTTGTTTTTATTCTTACTTTATGTAGTTCACCTATGGAAGCCAAACATTTGTATATTTCACAATTTCCGTTTGTGTTCCGGAACGTTGTTCGTGTCGCACATATTTTTATTTGACATTGTTGTTGTTGTTGTTGTTTGTATTTGGCTGCCCTTTTTCGCACTGGCTCACCAAATGGGACATTCGGGACCTTTCAACGCAGTTCCATGGCCCCGTTTCGGCCTCCCTCACAATTTAAATTGTTTGTCTGCGGCAGCTCGGACATCCTATTTTCTCGCTCTCGCTCTCGTTTCAAGTGCAATGCGCCGGAAACTAACAGCCTACATATACATACGTACATATATATATATATATATTTATAAAATTACAAAAATAACAACGGTAACAAGTCAACAGCAACAAAACACTTTAAATTGTCATCGTACCGTGTTCCTGCCACTAGTTTTCTTATTTGTGTTGGCAGCTCACAAACGAATCCAGCTAAAATGCTTGGATGCCAAGTAGATACCCCGTACTTTCAGTTGTTTCTTTTATAAAAAATAATTTTTTAAGTATACATAAAGCTTATTCTAGTCTAGCTGGTATAGAGCTTCAAGTATTTCGCAGCTTAATATATAAGCTTTAAGCTTTCATGTGCTTCAAAAACTTTTAAAGTTGCAATGAGGTTAACAAATCAGATTTCTACTACTTCGTTTATAAATCTTACTTAAATAATTCAAAAGTTGAAGTCAGGTCTCAATGCAAAATTTAGTCAAAGTTTACTTGCAACAATATGCACAAAGCTGAAACTGAAGCTAGTTGGAGAAACCTCAAACGCTTCGCATTTGACGCCAAACCAATTCCGAAGTAGAAGGCAAAGATTTTAGGCTGCTCTCTAAGTACTTTAGATGTCGAACTCTTAGTTCGAAGCGCTTGCAGCCTTGGCACAGTGAGGCAGCGTGCACCTGGCGAGGGTATATGAATAAATAATAATTTCTTAAAAGTTATTGCGACTCGTCGTCGCACTTTGTTTTCCTTTGTCTAGGCGATTGTGTTATGCTTGGGCCTTGCTCTTGGCATGGCGCATGATTTATGGAGGCAACGTTGGTGGCTTTTAATTTGCCACGGAATCCTTGTTAAACATTTGCAGGCGCGTCTCGTCCTCGTCTGGCTGGCAGCCTGAACTTTGTGTTTATCCTTCGCTCGGTCTCTTTACCTTTTTGCGCAACGCATTGTTGTCAAAGCTGAAGCTGGCAAAGCATTTTGTAATTTATTTAATTTAACTTTTTTCCCCATTTCATTTTTTTCCCAGTTTGTTTTATTTTTGCCTTTGCACAAAAGTTGCCGAGGCGCTTGCTTTTGAAGTTGACTGAAATGACAAATTCTAAAGGACAATCAGAATAGATGGCTCGCACAAGGAGTAGAAAATAAAAAACATATATATAAGTATATATAAATGTATATATATATATATATATATATATAAAGGTCTACCTGACCGAAATACCGAACCGAAACAAAATGTATTGGGTCAATATAGTAAACAGCAGACAGAATTCCAGCCCAATCAAATATCAAAGCAATCAATGAACATTTCTCAGCCTTAGTTTAATATTTAACTATTGCAAATAAATATCGGATAGCATATCACAAGAGCTTAGCCAAAGCAAACAACAAACGGATGCTCGCAGCAAACATTTAAGCGCTGCTCCTTATCTCGAAATATGCCCTCAGGCACTCATTTCTGTTCTACATGAATATTTCATAGAACATTCTTTTGTATAGAAGTTGAGGCGAACAGAATGCACTTTAAGTTTAACTGAAAAATGTTTTATTGTCTTGTGTTCCTGTTTTTGCAGGTAACATTTGTGGTATCTGGCAGGACAATGGCAGCTGGCAAACCTTTTAGGCTTATGACAAATGCCTTTGCACAATTTGTCTAATTTGCAGTCGTTCTTTTCACTTTGGGCCGCAATGTTGCCGAGCACAAATATACTTCTGAGAAAATGTCATCGTAAATTGATTTTGGGCCCAGAATCAATGGACGAGCGACTACAAAAGGAAATTACACATACATACATGGCGTGCATGCGTGCCGATAAGCTCCAGCTACAGCTACAGCTCCAGTTACAGCTCCAGCTCCAGTCTCAGTTCCTCCCCAAGTTGAGTTGACCCATAGTCGTTGCAGTGGGCGTTTGGGCAGCAACAAGCAGCGAATCGATTTATTGGCCATTAAATCGTGGCATTTGCCTCTAATATTTCGACCCAGTTGCATTCAACATTTGGCTTTTCGCTTTATCGGCTGCCGGCTGCCGCACTCAATGTGTAAAATAATTTTATTGTCTTAAATGTGTGTGTGTATACGAGCTGTGTTCATTTGGATTACGACTACAAATTGCCCATTAAAGCTAAGCAATTCATGACTCGTATACAAAATTCAAGCCCATCACGTAGCGCGTTTTCATTTGTGTTTTAACCACGCGTTTTCATTTATTTTTATTACTACATCGAATGCAATTAAATTATGCGTATTTGGCATTCATGGGCATTATTAGGTATTATTGTTGCGTTGCGATTTCATTTAAATGCCATTTGCCATACTGCAGAATTCTTAGCGCTGAGCAGCATATGTAGCTGCCTCTCATGTCTCTTGCCTCTTGCCTTTGATAGCATATTAATTATATTTACAGTTCGCATTTAAATGATGCGCACAAATTAATTAATATTTACACACATTCATTATGGCATAATTATTTGGAAAATGCATGGTCCATCAATAAATAATATCACTGCGGGCACGTATACTTAATAATATTACACATACGCAATGTTGAGCGCGTACATAATTATAAATATGACTTATTTGCATTGGAATGACAAATGTATGCGAAATGCTCAATCAAGTGCACTTGACTATCATGTGAAGGGAGAGAGAGAGAGAGAGAGAGAGAAAGAGAGAGGGAGACAGATAGATAGAGCGAGCTCTTGAAAGGGAGACAGAGAGACACAGAAAGGGAGAAAGGGAGAGTTAGAAAGAGACAAAGATACACAAAAAGAGAGGGTTGGGGAGGGTGGGATGTAGGAAGTGAGGTGGCTCATACTCGTTAGATAACCACAAAGGTCTACTCAGATATTCCAATTATCGTAAATTGATTTTATCAAAATCGTTTGCCACAAGATGGGCTACTTTGGAGAGACCTTATTGGTGTCTCTCATGCACTTTATTTCCCATTTGATGGATGCCTGAATGCATGAATGCGGCAACCGCACATCAATTATGTCGTCTCCTGCCATTGAATATTAATTGAAGCGCCATTCAGTTGCAGACAGTCGAGGACAGTGCGCGTGCATAAGAATTAATAAAAATGAAAAACAGTTAACACAAATTGAGCGTAATCAAATGAAGCACTGTGTGGCTGTGCTGGCTATACAAGAGTGATTACTCTCAACTTATAATCTCATCATGCGGACAATTAATTAAAGTCAATAATAAAATGCAACCCATGCGACGAGTCACTCGCATATGGCCCTCGACCGTTGAGGAACAGCATAATGTGGATTATTCGTCAATTAGGCAGCAGCCGGCATGCTCACAGTATTTGCTCTCTACACTTTCGACTCCCCACACTCACCCATCTAATCTGTAGGAAAGCTGTTGGGTTTATTTCCATTCGATGCCAGCCCCACGGTCATCCAGAATCAATCGTATCCATCACCGTGGCACGTGTCACGTGTCAAAGCCACATGAATTCACAATTCGCATTTGTCGGCACTCGGATGGACGTTAATCCCGCCAGCTCCCTGCCCATCCCATTCAATTGCTAAGTCGCTAAGTAGCTTTTGGCCAGTTCATGCTCTGCCTCAGCCGTAAAGTTCATAATTTATTAGCTCCACGAGCACGAAATTCGAGACAATAACGTAAAGGGCAATGCCACAGCGACAAACAGATGAAATGAAAATGATGCCACACTTTCAGTTCGTCGACAACTTTTAAAAATTTATTTCCAAACAAGTGTCAATAATTAAACGCTCGAAACCATTGCCTCCGTTCACATTCATTATGAATTGAGCATTAATAAAACGCTGAGCCATCGATCGATTTGCTTTGCCTACCAAAATCAATATTTATAAATATTTATACATACTCAACTAATGACTTAATAAAACTTAGACTTTTATCATTTAGCTATGGTTGAGGTAGTTTTAAAGTAAAAGCAGAACTTGATTCAATTTTAATATATAATGTATATCTATATATCTTTATATAATATATTCAGGCTAAGGTTTAATTTTTTAATGCCAAAAATAGTGCATTAATGTGCTTATATTTGTATTTGATTGAAATTCAAAGCTTTAAGCGCACATAAACTTATGCCCATCCAGCCAAGAGCTTTAATGCGCTTTAAAGCTTTTTGTTTAGTACACAAAGCACTGCTTTCAGCTGATTAGCTGAATTCATCTCGAGCCGTGCAATTAAGCTACTAGCTGGGTAAAGAAAACTTGATAGTGACAACCGCCGCAGAAAGGCAAAGGCAAGCTTTAACCTTTGGCGTGCCCAATTTCATGCAACAAATTGGCATGGATTAATTTGTTGCTTTCATGTGTCAAAGCTTCAGTTGTGTTCACTTTCAGCTTACATAATTGACACCTGCTCGGCTGGCAGCAGGCTGACGAATGCGAACTAAATACAATATCAAAGCGAAACTTTGCCGCTGTGATGATATTATTATGTACTTGACATGCCTTTGCCAAAAAGCAAAACCAAATCAACTGAAAGCAAAAGAAATGTGCTCAAACATAGAAAATCAACTTGTCGACCCGCGCGGCTTCTCGCCCTCGCCCTCGCCCTGGCCCACGCCCTCACCTCCCACATCTCACCTCTCAGCTCTCATTGTGTAGGTGTGAGAAAATCAATTGCCAACAAAAGCCACGACGTCCAATATGGCCAGCTCACTTAGCTATTGGCCTAGAGTCGGGCTACTTAGGACCTGCTAAATCGTCAAGTCTCACACGATTTGGTTTGGCTCGCTCTGCACACATTGTTAGGACACTCGAGCTATTGCCGTGGCTGATGTCCCGTTGTTGTCCTTGCGAGGCGGCACAACTGAGTGCGTTATGGTGGCAACACCTGTGAATATTTCAGATGTGTGGCCGCGCCTTGTTGGCTGACAGATTTATGAGCGTTTTTTTTTGTTCCTCTAATTTATGTTTTACTTCAGCTGAATATAGTTTCCATATATTATCCTGCATTAGTAAACCATGCAGTTCTTGGACTTGAGCTTCTTAGACTGGAAATTTCTCTGCTTTTCTGCAATCTTTAAGCCTAC